CTTTTATGTTGATGCAAATATTAATATTAAAATACAGTAAAACATTTTGCAGCTAAACTAAAAGCTGTTGAAAATGTATAAAGTTGGATTTTTGCAAAACTAATATTAAATAAAAGTATGACCGTAAATGAAATCTTGTTTTTTTATTTCTAATTTAAACACACTTTTACAATTTTTAGCCTTGAACTCATTCATCCATTACTGACTGTCTTCCAGTTTTAAGTACAACACAACAATCATCCAGTTTAACCAAATCTGTTTTTGTTTATTTTTTATTGATAAGTTTACTCCATCCTTCCATTTGTAGCAAGAACAGGGGGAGAAACAGGAACAACTGATAACTGTTTCTGCCCTATTACTACACTGTTTTTACCTGTTGGGGCACCTCCTGATAAATGTTTATTCACACTTAATAAATAAGACTCATACTCTGCAAAAGGCACAAACCTCTGTGTTCTACACCGTTTTTTCAGAATAAGGTCACACCCAAGGCATCAACAAGRGGTGTGCTCCTGGGGCGGAGCTTCTGGGGGTGCTGGGAGGGCGGCACGCACTCGGCCGGGGTTGGGGCCCAGAGGGAGAGTCTGGACCCTGTCGGGCCCAGAGAGAGATAGAACTTAACCCTCAATTTACACCATGCTGTTCTGCTCTGTTCCAACCTCTGCAGTAAATATTCAACCATCATAATCAAGGACAGTATTTACACTGCTCCTCATGATGGTGCAGAGCAGCGAGTGGACCGAGATTTGACAAAATTAGATTCATCTTTTGCCCGACGCCGGAGCTGCCCCGGAGTCAATGTACAAAGATCACACTGCACCAACAGGAAGAATGAGTACATCTTCCGTTTTTACAAAATAAATCCCCAAAGAAAGAGCAATTTTGTCAAAATGTTTGCTATATTAATAATTATGGTAATTTATACATAAATGCTTTCAAAATGCATCATTATGATTAGGAAGCGATGGAAACATGCAGCTCACAACGTATTCATACACATATGATACACGTGGATTTTATTCTGAAATCAGAAGTTTCAGAAAGTCAAGATGCATTTTCAACCCAACTTCCACAGAATGACTTGTTTTGCTCAGACTTCTACAGATATCACTGGATTTATTGTGCGATCTCATATTTCCTGCACATTCTTCTCCAAGCTCCTCGGAGCACGGGACGAGACTGAACCAATTCGGAGGCAGTATGGAGCCAACCCTCTGAGGCGAGGTGGAGAAAGCGAGCCCTCCCATGAAGGCATCCAGAAGAGCCCGGTCTGCTTTGATTTAGAACCTCTTCAGGGACCAGATAACAAAAAAAAAAAAAAAAAAAAAAAAAAAAAAAAAAAA